AAATTTTATATCCACCGATTTTATCGAATGAGGTATCAAATGAAAGGGTATTCGGAGGAGAAGTGATAAACCATAGTCACTTCTTCCCGGAAGTTCAGCGGTAGAAGCTGTGAGAGAAATAGGCAAATTTTTATTTCCAAACAGCTCAGACATTTTTTTATTGAGAAACAGAGTTGAGATTTGTATTTAGAACGTCTAAGAACCCTCAAATACGAATTTTCATAGCAATCGAAAAATAAAACTTTTTTTCTTCGAAATTGAATATATAGCTTTAGTTTTTTGTAAAAAATGATCAAAAATTTTATATCCACCGATTTTATCGAATGAGGTATCAAATGAAAGGGTATTCGGAGGAGAAGTGATAAACCATAGTCACTTCTTCCCGGAAGTTCAGCGGTAGAAGCTATGAGAGAAATAGGCAAATTTTTATTTCTAAACAGCTCAGACATTTTTTTATTGAGAAACAGAGTTGAGATTTGTATTTAGAACGTCTAAGAACCCTCAAATACGAATTTTCATAGCAATCGAAAAATAAAACTTTTTTTCTTCGAAATTGAATTAAGGCTATAGCCTTAGTTTTTTGTAAAAAATGATCAAAAATTTTGTATCCACCGATTTTATCGAATGAGATATCAAATGAAAGGGTATTCGGAGGAGAAGTGATAAACCATAGTCACTTCTTCTCGGACGTTCAGCGGTAGAAGCTATGAGAGAAATAGGCAAATTTTTATTTCCAAACAGCTCAGGCATTTTTTTATTGAGAAACAGAGTTGAGATTTGTATTTAGCACTTCTTTCCGGAAGTTCAGCGGTAGACGTTATGAGAGAAATAGGCAAATTTTTATTGTTGCTAATGTTTCAACTCAAGCTTGTAGGTTATTAGCAGGTCACTGATGATGTTCAAGTACTCCTTCAGTTCTATTTATCACCCATGATAAATAAGAATAAATAAATAAGAAGTTAGTAGAACAGTCTACTAACATCTTTTAATGATTAAATATATTATCGAAAAATGCCAGACTCCAATCTTGACCTAACGGTCAGACATTCTGTGATTTGAGCTAGCTATACATACCACTTCCTACCAATCAAGGTATATTAAGGATACAATAAACTATAACATTTCCAAGCCATACCTACCAAAAAAAAAAAAATCACCAAGTTTCTAGCATGACGACATTTTTGATTAGATAATTTGAAAATCAGTAAACTGCACGAAACAATGTTAAAAAGTGAATAAATAGTAAAATTATAAAAGCTTATATATCCTTGGAGACAATGTTTATGAGCACATTAAGTGTCCTTGAAAAACCTTCCACTAAAGTAACTAAAAATACCTGATAGTTTTTAGGTCAAAGAGGTAATTATTTTTAAAGTTAATTTTCTAGCAATAAACTTTAATTTTAACATACTTTAATCTCAAACATTTAGTCCAATTTGGCCATTTTAAAGAAAAAACTCATTATATTTAAAAAGATTTGAGCTGAAGTGTCTAAATCTTTTTTAAGTAATTTACAACAATAATATTCTGTTTAGAAATTGCCTAAAAGGCTGAAAAGTTCAGTATGAGAAGAACATTGAGATAAAATAATCAAATTAAAGTTTATTACTAATAATAATCCTGTCTTAATTATAGGAATTAAAATATAATGTGTTTGGTTTTCTTATCACTGAGTATTTGATTGATTCGGAGAATTTACATTTCTCTAATATGAACTTTCTCTTTACAGAAAGTTACGACATTATCAGGATGTAATGTTGGTTTGAAAGATGGATTATCATTTAACCATTCAATCTTTTACAAAAGGTTCACTCATAAAAAAATTTTCCTGAACAAAAAATTTAACAAACTTAATATAAGTCAATTTATTTTCATTTCATTGCTTAAACATTCCAAAATTTGTGATTTCAAAATATAAAGTTATTTTAATGTTATTTATTTAATTGTTTAGAGAATGATCATTGATTATACTCAAAAAAAGCAGGTAAAGTATTTGGAGAGTAGTGGATACAATTTGATAAAATTGATACTTACTAAATTATCTGTTAACCAATTCCTAACTTCCCTCCAAATTTGAACCAAACTGAACATGCAGTTTTAGAGATATAGACGCATCAAGGAAAATACATTTGTGGATATAAAAGAGAAAGTAGAGGACGGAACAATAAAATCGATACAGAATCATTATTTTACCAAAACCCACCTTTCTTTCACTTTGAGCCAAATCTAATGAACCCTTTCTGAAATGTTGACATATCTAAGAAAATGCATTTATAAGTGTGCAAACGGAAGAGCTCGATGGTATTTGATAAAATTTATATGAGTTCATCTAGCCACCAATCCACACAAAAATGTCATGAAAATCTGAATTAGTAGGTGATATGCCCGTTACATCGATTTGACTACAGACCAAATTTGATCTTAGATGTCTGAAATGTAAAACGCGAGTGGAAATTTTTGATTCTGAGCAAAAACATTTTTTTTTAACCTCTCGCAGAAATACATAGCTTTGTTACCTTCGGTAATGAGGAAGCAAAATTTATAACTGCTCTTATTATGAGTGATTCTGTATGAAATTGAAAGTAGGTGGTAATATAATATAAGGTGGTAATATGTCAATATAAGTGAATACATAATAAAAACAATAAGTTTAACTACATTTTATTAGCAAATTTGAATAACAACACAAATTTAAAATTTTAAAACAAAGTTCAACCAAAAATAACAATAAGTACATACAGATATATTTAGACTTTCATAAATTTATGCAGATTAGAAAAAAAAAATAATAAGAAGAACAAGGAAAGAAAAGTAATTACAAAGATATTGAAACACTCATACTTTCACTCAACATCTTAAATATATATATAATAGAACATTTTATACACATTCTTCTTTTATTTATATACATATACACAATACATATAAATATATATACACAAGCAAACTTAAAAAAAAATTAAAACAAAACAAAAATAAAAATCCCATAGTTAATAAGGCTTATTTTTTCAATTTTTATGATGTAAAATGTACATTAAACATGAAAACTTTAATGGAATTGTTATTTTTGAAATATTAACATGAGATTCGATTAAGATATAATATATATTAACACAGTCATTCAGTCATTAGATTCATGCTTTGTTAACTGCATGTCTTTATAATTATTATGCCTAAATAAAGAAATAGAGAAAAGAAAAAAAAACAAGGGAATGATACATAGGCACAGTGGAAATAAAACTAAATTAAAAATAACTATTAACTATGAAAATGTTAATAATTCTATCATAATTAAACTATTAACATAAAGCATCTGCATATTGCCTATTAACAACAAAATACGTAGTTCTACCTCACACGCTAATACAATGACGTGTATAATAGGCGGATGGAACAACAAATGTTCCATTATTCAGTAAATATATAACATTTTAATTCAATTTGTTTTTTATAAAGTTTAATAATAGATAATCAAATAGTGTTTTTATAATTTTTGTCTCTATTAAATTAATAATATATCATAGGTTTATTGCAAAAAGCCACTAACAACACTTTTCATGGCGCTAAACTTTTAAACACATATTTAATTAGCTAAAACTCATTAAGTGCACCACAATAACATATACCCTATTTGAATTCAAAAACATAATTATACTAAGTGCAAAATATTTTGATTTCATGTAGCAAAAATTTGTGAAATTATTTAGTGATTTAATTTTATAAAATGTTATTTAATGTATTTTCCCAATAAACCAACGATATATTAGAGACCTGATAAATTTAATTTTGACATTTTGGCTGCTGAGTTTTGGGGATTGAGCTCCTGGTATATTTAATGAGTTTCGATCTGCTTATGATTTGACATAGTTTTCCATAAATCATGATCAAAGAACACGCATATAACAACATACATTTATGTTTATTTTATATGCTATATTTAAGTCCAGTTGTCTAAAGTGCCATTATGTAAATATTTTTTAAAATGTTATCATGAAAAATAATTTATATTTAGTTTTAAGATTAAATGCTTGAGAAAAAAACAAATTTTTAATAGAAAAAATACCTATAACATTCAATCTATATAATTTTATAATCTTTTATACAGAGAAAAAAAAATTTTATCCATTGTTAACTGATATTCAATGTGTTTTTTTATGTTGTCTATCAATAAATTTTTTAAAAAATTGATCTTAAAAAAAAAGTTAGTTCTTCATTATTATATTTAAAAAATTAAGAAAAATTAAAATTTCTTATTTTTAACCTTTTCTCTTCATTTAAACAACTTTTAACAGTTTACATTATCATAATTTTTATTTATTTTCTGTTAGGACTCATTTGGTAATATATTAACATATATTTACAGGTTCTTAAAGGTTGTCAGAAGCATTGTTTTTTTGAGGTTATATCTAGCCAATTATAACAAATCTGTAAATTTTTTACCTGAATTAAAACATTCGTAATTACAATGAATGTTTCATAAACCTATAAGAAATAATATTGGCAAGCTACTTAAAGTTGTTTTTTTTTAACTCTAACTTTGCTTTGATATCTTGATAGTGACTTTAAAGATTGATAAATACAATCTCAAAGAAGCCGCAATTAATACAATTTTGTCAGTTTGCTCTCACCACAATAAAGGGGCTAAATTGAATATATTTTTGCATATTCAAAATAAATAAAAAAATTGTCAAATATATAAATCGAAATATCACAAATAAACACATTCAATGCAAATTTTGTTGTGACATCATTCAAAAATTAGGATTCAAGTAATCCTTGAGCAATATACATATAATAAAATGGATGGATATTCTGATGCAAATGTTATCATTATTTACAACTAAGCATCAACACTATATAAATTTAGACAAAGATTTAGCCTACATTGAACTAAGTTAAAGTTATCATATTTTCCACCATGGACATTATCATACGATTTATTCAGGGCATGATTAATATGAAATCGACCGATATGAATAAAATAATTCTAAATATATCCAATGGTCCAATAAAATCTAAATATTTATTTAATTTTATTCATTATTAATCTCAAGTGATCTGTTTCATGATGTCGGTGACGATAAGATAATTTTTTATTTAATTAAATTTGTGAAATTCCTCACCATACCCTGAATTCAACCATTAACAACCTACCACCATATTCGCTAACCATAACATTTTTAATTTAATAGAAGTTTCATAGAAGAATGCTTTATATAAAGATACAATTGTATTTTTATTTATACTTGTTAAAACATGATATTACAGTAGTTTTTATATTTACCAACATAAAATATTTGGTTCATGAAAATTATAACGGTTGTCATTAAATAAAAAAAAATAATAAAAAAAATTATGTTTGCTATGATACAGTTTACCGCTCCTATTTTTTAACTAAACAAGCATACGTGATTACAAAAATAAAAATTGCTAAAGTAAAGATATGTGGATATCCAGTAAGATAAAAAAAGTGCATCCATCTCAATATTGTGAACAGTTTGTTTAAGTACAGTAAGTATATTGAAAAAAAAAAAGCTAAAAATTAAAATTGAGAGAAAAAATTAAATAATTAATAAAACTAAAAGTCTAAGTATTTTTGAATTCTTAATACAAATACCGTATCACCAGTGTTAGGAGCTAACAAATTATTGTTTCCTTCAAAAGATCATGTTTTCAAGTATTTAGTTACTAATATTTTTAAACAAAAAAAAAAGTTTTTTCTTTTTCTTTTATCTTAGACTGTTATAGACTTGAGTTGAACAAGTTTGACTTTGATTTCTCGAAAACTCGGCCTCTTGTCTGGATGTAGATCCCAAGCCTAAAAAATAAATATGTTTTATAATAAATACCTAAAATAGCATAAAGCTTGAAAAGAGACATAAAGTGATGATGTTATAAATGGAAAAATCTGGTGCGGTGCGCGCATCACACAACTTTCACTTACTACCCTCTTCTTAGCAGAAATAAGTATTTTCAGACAAATAAAAATTATAGATGCTATAATTATTTATATTTCATTGTGGGTATTTTTGTTTGTATAAGTACCCTTATACATACAAATTTTAATATTTATATCCGTGTAATCTATACAATTAAATAATAAATAATACCAATAATAGCATTTATGAAAACCGCATATGTATATTTATATAATATTGTCGGAGTCCGTATTATATTAAGCTCATGTAACGTATGGAAGCCTGTTATAATCTTTCGGGCGAGTTCGGGTACGATCAATTACAACTATTGTCCGTTACGATTTTATATTTCTCCTTTAGTTAATTATCAAATTCTTTCATATTTTATATTAAACTATCTTTTATATTAGAGATTAATGTGAAATAGTCAATTGTTTCAAATAAAAAAAAAATTAAAGGTACTTTAGAGGAAGCTAATATTGAAAAATAGCCATTTAAGCCCTGTTAGAGAACATCAATCAAAATAAAACCTACATTTTATTTACAATTGCTGAATTTTACACTGATATAATGAATTTAATCGAAATCGTTAGAGCCGATTCCGAGAAAATCGTAAAAATGTGTTTAGCCCATAATATAAAGTGCCACTTCCGGTCATTTGATTTTGACGAAAAAGTTACTGCAACATCCCTAGGATATAAAAACCATAAATATGCAATTTCACTTTCGTAACACACACACAGACCATTTTGCGGGACTTGGTTATTTAGACTCACTGGACCTCAAAACGTGTATTTCTGTTGAAAACTGACATTCAAAAATTTCAAAAAATCAAAAAGACCTAACACAAAGGGGGAAAAAATAGATGTAACTAAAATATAACAATACAAAACATGTTGAATAAAATAAATTAAATTAAAATTTTAAAAAAATCAAATCTATTCCCAAAAAACAAAGTGGATACACGGCAATTCCACAAGTAATAATACTAAAATATTAAATGCCTGAAATGGCCAATTAACTATTCACCTGTATGTCAAAGCTTGGTTGTTCTGGATTTTTCCATTTATAATTATAAATAACACCTATATTTATAAAATGATGAAGCACATCTGATTTACTGAAGATAATTGAAACTTTAAAAAAAATAATAGAAAAGGAATAGAATGTTATTTTATCATTTATTTTGTTAATTCATTTAGTTGCATTTTATTTTTGTTCAATAGTTCATAAGAACAACTGTTTCTTGTTATAAGCAGTATAACTTGTTATAATAGAATCAACTTGCTCTCTGAAAGAGCCACAGTCTATGGGCCAAAGATACACCACATGTGGCTCGCGAACCAGGGTTTGCTGACCACTATTTTATCCCATAAATGGCCTTTATGGGATCTGTTTTATGAACTAAACACACCCTGTGCATATTCCTTTATTTTTTCTGTTACCTTTTCTGGTACTATACTAGAGCCACAACCAAATTATAACTAGATTGGGCAGGTTGAGATTCTTTAAATTTTAACCAACCCAGGCTGAATTGGAACTGACATCACAAGATTCGAGAATACTAAAGTTTATGCTTAAACAAGCTCAGCCATCGTGACGTCAATCCTTCACCACACAATCTGCATAAGCATATATATGGGGTTAAGGTTGACAGGTCACCAAAAGCGGAGTTGGCCTGAGCTAGTAGAATGGAGTCAGGAGATTAGCAAACGATTGCGTAATGGACCTAGCTCAGTCAGCAACTAGCTTTGCATTGGTATCCTTCTCATATTCTGTATAACATTTTTAAAAAATTGCAAAGTTGGTCATGCCAGAGTTGATAAGAAAAATTGAATATTTGTGCCTTAGTTCGGAATCTGATGATTCAAACATCAAATTTATTTATATGACATGTTTTTCCATTGCACATTTGTTACTAAATCAAAATAAAATAATTTGAGAGGCTGTGCTATGAGAAAAATCAAAAAGAAAGGACGATGGTGAGGAACCAATCGACCTGGTTGTGAGGCAGTGGTGGAGAGGAGAAGAGGAGCATAGCTTCAAAAACCGAACCTCGGTCGAGTCAAAGCGGAGTGGAGTTGACCCGTGTGATGCCGCTCAACTGCGCTCTGCTCTGCTCCGAATCTGGTGGCTAAAACGTTTTATTCGGTTTAGGAAATTGACTGAGTTTCGCTTAACTCTGCTTTTGATGGCCGATCGGCCTAAGGATAACAGATGCATATTATTGTCAGGTTCAAGATTTGGTTCCCCTGGTCAACATTAATTTTTCTCTCCACCCTCCGTCTCCCCAAAAACAAAATTTAATTTCTTTCTAAAGCTGATATATATTATGTAATATTTCAATAGTACTAATTTAGATGAATTCAATATGTCTCTAATTTAGATGCTTTATTAATAAGCTGAAATTAAAAATTTTAAATTGGTATTTTTTATAATTGTCAAAAAGTGGCAGATACCGCAGACATACGCCTGGATTGTCCCGTTTCCTGATTACCACTGCAAGCAAGAACCATACAGAAGTTGAAACAATATTTAGAAAACAAAACATAAGGCATAGTACCTGTCTCATAATCTCATAAACTTCTGGAGGACATCCTTCTGGTGCTTCCATTTTGTACCCTTTTTCAACGTGTTTCACTACGTCTGCCAAAGGCTGAAAAAGAAACATGAATAAGTTTCCACATTTTCCCCCCCAAAAAAAATAAAATAAAATAATTCTCCTTAAAAAAAGAAACTTACTATTCTAGGATATGGGACTCTTCCAAAAGAGTAAATTTCCCATAAAAGAATTCCGAAACTCCACATGTCTGATTTGTTAGAGAATATCTGAAATATAGATGGAGAAAAAAAATCAATAACACATCATAAATTAAAGATAATTTATATTTATTAAATATAAAATATTTTTTCCATGATCCAGTAAACCAGTTCCTGAAATGAATTTTGGCCTTACACCATGTTTTAAAGCCTCCGGAGCTGTCCATTTAATGGGTAGCTTTCCGCAGTCCAAGGTGAAGCTTTCTTCCCTCGCCAGGCCGAAGTCAGCTACTTTGGCCACGCCTCCTTCTGAGATGAGGACATTACGAGCAGCCAGGTCACGATGGACTACCTTTCTCCTTTCAAGGTACTCCATTCCACTACACGTGTCGCTATAACAAAGAATAACAAACTATTGAAAATAAGTAATTTTTTATGGAAAATAATGATAATTAGGACAATCCAGACATATAAGTCAATTTAATATAGAAGCTCAATGTAAAAAAAAAAACTTGAAAGCAATAGCCTTAGCAAAGGTAGAGAAGGCTTATTAAGGTAGCAAAAAATCAAAAGTGTGTAAAGCTAAAAGAAAAAAAAAAAAAAAAAAAAAAGAAATTAATACATTTTATCCATCTTTTTAGCAATTTATGGATGCTATGCCAAAAAAAAACATTGCTTTGTCAAGCCATTTTTGTAGATTTCCATAAAAAGCTAAAAAAAAAAAACTTATTGGAATGAATTTTTGTTCCCATTTAAACAACTTAAGTCACTTTGAACCTATATCTCTGCATGAAATAAGACTGAATATTTTAACTTTTTTTTTTTAGTTCAGGGCATCGGTTAAATAACCTTTAGATACACTGATCATCAATTTCTATATTGTTATTGTATTTAATTATGCTTGTGAAACTATTGCCTGCTGCAATCTATTTCCCATCATATTTTGTCTTTCTTCTAAAGTAAAGTGGATTGAATAATTAATAGTTGACTGTTGCATTATAAAGAAAGGAGATGGTCTGGGGTGGCGGTCATAAATAGGCTAAATAATGGTATTAAACTATTTTATTAAAAGCGACCCGACTTTGCAGGTCTTCTTCAGTGAGGTGTGTTCAGCTAGAAGTTTCATTTAGAAAGAACAGAGTTCTAAGTGAAACTCCTAGCTGAACACACCTCCCTGAAGAAGATCTGCAAAGTCGGGTCGAAACGTCGGCTTTTAATAAAAAAGTTTTGCTACTATTTGCTACTATTACTACTAGCCTATTTATGACCGCCACCCCGGAACATCTCCTTCCTGAATAAATAAATTGTTTGTTTTTCCTTATTGGTTAAAACTGCTCCTAGGACAGACTCCTCCTCCTCCTCATACATTAATATATTAACAAATAAAAATCAATAAAAATAAAAATAATAATGGTATTAATCGTTTAGTTGAAGCTTGTTAGTTATTATAATTTGGAACAAAAACTCTAAATTAAATAACTATTTAAAATTTAAAATAATAATAATATCTTACCAAGCAAAGTTTATTTGGTGAGCTTTGGTGACATGCAGCCTTCCTCTCGACCTCAAATAATCTACCAGATTCCCTTTTCCCATATATTCAGTAACAAGGGAAATATGACTTTTGTCAAATACAAGGCCCAAAAGTTGAACTAAGTTCTCATGTTTCAATGACCTAAAAATTTATAATCAAGTATTAAAAAAATAAAGAAATATTCAGCTAATTTTTTTAAGTTTTTTTATTTTATTTTTTTAAAAGGAAAAATATAATTTAAATATATTAATCACTGTTTCCTTACGTCATTAGAGACGCCTCAGCGAGAAATTTCTGAGCTGCTTCACTGGAATCTTTCAGCATTTTCACAGCCACTTTTTCTCCTCTAAATATTGCAAGCATCACATCTCCAAATTCACCTTTTCCTATAGGTTCTCGGTACTGAAATAAAAAAACAAATCATAAAAGATAAGTATGCCTCTTTACCTAAGGCTGATGGTGTAAATTGAAAAAGATGAAAAACAATAATAAACAAAAGGATGAAATATGGTAAGGATCAAGAAGTCAAAAAATTATATACATTGAGATTGTCGAAATTTTTACTCAAACATCAAAGCTAAAAATTTAAAAATGCAAAATTACAGCAGAGAAATGATAAATATAAAAAAGGAAGTTGATGGTCCGGGGTTGCGGTCATAAAAAGGCTAAATAGTGGTAAAAATATTTTATTGAAAGCCAACGTTTTGACCCGACTTTGTAGGTCTTCATCAGGGCTAGAACGGACAAGATACAAAAAAAATAGAGAATTGTGGCAATTACATAATATTTAGACATAATTTATAAACAATGTGAATAAGCTTATTAGAATTATAAACAGTAAGTACAATATAAACATGTTAACTTCCCCTATACCTGCAATCCTTACCGCTGCCTTTCCAGTTCTAAGTGAAACTCCTAGAGGAACACAACTGTAAGTCTCTAATTTTATTTTTCTCCTGTAGATTTTGTAGAATTATACTCACATTTTCATTTATTATATATTACACTACAACAATTGTTAGCATCTATTTACTTTAGTTTAGGATCTTGTTACTCAGCTTACTTAGTCCATATTTTATTGTACTTACTGTTTATAATTCTAATAAGCTTATTCACATGGTTTATAAATTATGTCTAAATATTATGTAATTGCCACAATTCTCTATCTTTTTGTATCTTGTCCGTTCTAGCCCTGATGAAGACCTGCAAAGTCGGGTTGAAACGTTGGCTTTCAATAAAATATTTTTACCGCTATTTAGCCTTTTTATGACTGCAACCCCGGACCATCTCCTTCCTTTATAATGCAACGGTCAACTATTAAATATTCGATAAATATAAAAGTACATTAACAAGAGAATAAAGAGGTGGGACATGCGAATGAGATAACAGCAATATTAACATAACAATATGCGGTACTTGTGAGCGACACCGGCTCTATGGACTGCTATCTCCAGTTATCTTGTTATTTAAAGTGTTGTTGTTATAATTTATATTTCTTATTATTAAATTACTATATTATTATTATATTTATATTTCTGATTAATATATATATATATATATATATATATATATATATATATATATATATATATATATATATTAATAAGAAACAGGTAAAAAAGAGGCAACACTAAATATTTTATATTTATATTTCTTATTATACGAGAGTCTAATTTCATATGAAGATAGGGATTATTTAATAATAAGTAGTTTTTAATAATATGAAATATAAATAAAAACAACAACACTTTAAATAACAAGATAACTGCAGATAGCAGTCCATAGAGGCCGCCTCGCTCACAAGTATCCAATATAGAATTGTTTTTGCGTTATAAATAAATGAAAAATGTAAATATATATATATATATATATATATATATATATATATATATATATATATATATATTCTTATTATGTTTTAACATTTATTTAACTTTTTGTTCTTGAACACCTTCAGTGCAATTAACATGCCCTGATGATGAGCCACAAGCATGGGCTGAAATGTTGGAAATAAAAATCTTAAAAATTGATTGCGTTCTGACAATATCTATCACCCATGAAATTCAATTAATAGATTAAAAAAAATATTATGAATTTAAAACAATCCAATCACCTCTAATTCATGTTCCTGTATGACCCAACCAGCTTCGACAAACTTTTTCGTATCTACACAGAAATCTTGCTTTCCTTGCTTAGGGAGACTTTTAGTCAACTGGGTACAAAGGCCATCAGCATCTTCTTCATAGTGCTTTAAAAGATACAAATTTTTAAACTATTTAAACATAATAATAATAATACAATTAGCAATAATAATATTAAATTAAATAATCATCATTTATAATTGTTATAAATAAATCAAGTTGAATAGTAATTTAATAATAGTCAATTATAAAGTTGCGTTTAGACATTTCACAAACTATGGGAAATATAATTATTAACAACTAATAGAGGCATTGGCGCTAAGCACAATTTTTTTTTGTTTTTATTACTCTTATTATCAACAGCAGATTGAAAATTGGAATTTGAATATCTGTGTTTTACATAGCTTGTGAAATGTCTAAACACATCTTAAAAATGTCTTGATGTCGAAACCAAAGGATTATTTTTTTTTTTAATATAGAATAGATTTTAGATAGGAAATAACATTATTCAGGGACAAAGTCCTTCAAGAATAACAAAATCATACAAAAAGAAAAAATTATTTCTGGCCTAAAGGCCTAAAAAATAAATAAAATAAAACATTAAGTATAAACAAATAAAATTATGTACAAAACACTTAAAAGTATGAAAAAACACTTTGAAATATATACGAAATCCATCGAAAATGGTAAAACAGTATACTAATTCACTTCTAAGAAAAAACAAAGCTGAAGTATATAAATGCTGGAGAATACATAAATAAATCATGAGAAGAACATGATCATTTATTAACATAAATAAGTGTAAGATTTTAATCATATATAAAATAATAATAATAATAATAATAATAATAATAGATGCATTGAGTGATATTGAGGATAAGGAATTTCTTGTTATAGAAACAAAAACCTGTACCACTAACAACCCATGATCATATATAAATAAATAATATAAGGGTCTTCTTGGGTGAAGAACTATGTGAGGAGATACTATTACAAGGCCAACGATTGTGCAGAGAGGTGATTGGGCCGATATCACGCTCAACCGCCAGGTTTTCCCCCTTAATCATTTAATTAAGAGTACCAACTTTATAGAGGCCGGGTATGCCCCAGGAGGGTCTCCCAACCCCAGGGTCGATCCACTGCTGATGAAAAATTACTAGTCATAAGACGGATTCAAACCTGGGACTCTGACTCTGGGACTGGGACTCTGGAAGTCAGTGCTCACCCACTAAGCTACCCAGTTCCCCCAGGGAATTCTTGTTATACCTCCAGCAAAAAACAGTACTATAATTTGATGATAAATAACATGATATACATGTATAATGTTAAAAGGATTTTAATGTTCTTCAATAAAAAAAATACACTGTTTCCTCTTGCAACTATTGACAGATCTTATAGTTTTTGTTTAACGAAATAAATGTAGGAAATTTGGCTTAGTTACCTCTACGAGCTGGGCTAACGTTTGAAAGAATTCTTCATCGTCTATGGTCAACTGGTTGTCTTTATACTTGACACGGTAATGCTCTACCTTTCCTTGGAAACAAACACAGAGCGTATAGTCCCCAGGGAAGTTCGTGGATTCCCTGACTAGAAAGAGGCCATCTTCTCTTGGGTTAAGCAATGTTTCAGCTGCTTCTCTGGAGATCTTCCCATGGAACCATCTGTAATAAATATATAATAGTATGATTAATCCACTTAGGAGTGGAATTTTTGTATGTTTACCTCCTTACAAGTCAAATAATTTCCTAAAGTCAAAAATTTTGTCCCCACCATTTCTTTCTATAATCATTCATTGACTGGACTACTCGGCCATCCAGCCTCACAGTTGGTATCGTATGGATAATTATTACGCCGTGGCGATAAAAAAAACTAAATTACTTACATGGAACTATTAACATGAAACTATTAAAATAAGAATCACCTGTAGCTCACTTGATTTTATAGAGAGAATCACTTTATTATCATAAAAGGGTGATGCCCAATTACATTGGGTTGCTTTAAACAAAGCATACTTATTAATCGCTGCAGACAATTTTCCAAAACTAATATACAATTATATAGTATTAACAATATGTATGAGCATAGTATACAATGATTTATATATATATATATATATATATATATATATATATATATATATATATATATATATATATATTGTTTTCTTTATTTATTTTTTTTTAATTTTATTATTTTTTTTTCTATATATATATATATGTTTTTTTCTTTTTTTTTACTATTTCTTTCATTCATTTATTAGCATTATATGAGAAGGAGTTGATCAGAGGGTGTGGTCAAATTAATACTAAATTAAACAAGTAGAATTATTTAATTTTTGTCGACCTCTTTTTTACACTGCCAGTGTTTCGACTGCCTCCCGCAGTGCTACATCCTACGCCCTGATGAAGAACTGCAAAGTGGAAACGTCGACAAACATTAAATAATTATACTTGTTTAATTTAGTATTAATTTGACCGCACCCCCGATCAACTCCTTCTCATATTATATCAACGGTCAACCATCTCTACATCATTATTAGCATTATATATCCCTTTCTCCTCCTTCTCTCCCCTTAAACATTTTTCTCATTCCCTAGATTCTCTCCTCTCTCTTCCCAAACTAATTCATAAAATGTATACAAATACATAAACTGCAGTGGATGTGGTCAATAAATAATATAAAATATAAAAGTGTCAAGTACCAATTTGACAGCCGCTTACCGTAGAGATTGTAAGATTATTTCAGATAGGTGATCATAAAGAAGAATTAGTATGAATCAAAATAAAATAAAAACCAATTGAAAGATTAATTAGAAAATAATTGAATCGAAAAATTAATCAAAAGAAAAACTACATCCAATTTACTTACGGCATTGCACTGAGCTTGACCTCTGGTTTTTGAGATAGGGCGAATGAAGTAGGAGAAAGCTTTTCCGTGTCGGTCATGTTGGGTACAATCCATGTCCGGTCCTCTAAAGGACTCACCACAGCCAATGGCTGGTACCGCTGCAATATAACAAAAATATATTAAAATAATAAATAAATATATATAGTGTGTATATATCTCGTAAGTTGAGGGAAATATTTAAAGAAACTAATCCGTATTTTTAAGCGACCAAATAAATGTTTGTGGTCCTAATATTATTTACAATTAAAATAAAGAAACCTCCTGATTTCTTGAATTATTTTCATAAAAACGTAAATATAAGATTTATTTTTATAATTGGGATCTTAATAAAAATCACAGTTGCATTATCATATCACTATACCTAGTTCTACCATAAATCCTGTTACAAAAGTTGAACTTTGTTTACATCTTTGGGTATTATTTAGATAATGCTTACCTCTACCAGATTAATTTCTTTACATGTCAGGATAATAATCCCAATTAGTTTGTAATTTGTTTTCATGTAAGTTAACAGTGGGGTGATAAAGAAAACCGAATAGCTGTGATCGCTTTACACAAAGTTTGAAAAAGTAGATCAGAGATTTTTAACACTTTGAAACATTTCTGTATCAGCCGTATGTTCGTGTACCGCAATATTAATAAATATAATGAGACCCTTTCTGTATGTAACAGACCTCAACCGGACACGCACTGTGAGAATGGCAAATGCAGTGAGAGCAGTGGCTGCTCAAACCAGAAGAAATCCAATTCGAAAACAATAAATCATGTCTTGGGAAATGGGAATCTCTGTCAGATCAATGTCTCGCATAATAAAATGTGACCTTAGGATGGGTGTGAAAAGTGACCTAAAAAAAGAGTGGATAGATGGAACGTACTCCTTGGCCATTATACCAATAGTCTTCATCAAATGATTTTGTTTAGCGATGAGAAAACTTTTACAATTATAGAAAAATTTAATCGCCAAAATGATCGTATATACGCACACAGCTAGAAAGAAGCCCAGAAAGTCATTGAAAGAGGCCATCACCCTTACTCAGTGTTAGTTTGGTGAGCAGTTTGCTTTGATGGCACCACAAAGCTCCATTTTTATGAAAAGGTCGCTAAAACTATTAGGATGATATTTTGGAACATGTTGTCAAGCCTCTAAACGATACTCTGTTTGCTGGAAGTCATTGGGTTTCCAAAAGGATTCCGCTTCAGCTCACAAGGCCAGGTTAACCTTCACCTTTAATAATATTGACTTAAAGGTAATCATTAAATGAGGAAATTTTTCTAAAAATGGGTGGCTGTAGTATAGTTAGAGGGTGATGATAACCGATCCCTTTGAGATCAGTACAGCTGTATCCTTTGCACCGATTCTTTCAGATTCAAGGACGACAAATCAATCTAGCTCCTTCCTTTCTCTAAAACAGATCCTCCATGGACTAGGTATCCCAATAATATAGAGATAATATCTTATCTCTATATTGATAGAGATATTGCCAACCTGTAAAACCACATTGTGATTCATATTTAAGGTACACAGAGTAAGGTCATCACTCCTATGCCCAAAAAAGCATGTTTCATTCCTAATTCATTTGCAAGCACATACTGTGAAAATTATTTCTATTTCCTATATATTTCTAGAACCTTGGTTTTTGTGCACTAATACACCATTTATGCAACTTCATCATTAAAATTATCTACTCTATTTGAGAATGATCGTTTTATTTCTTATTACACATGCTATTAATTTAACAACTGTATATTATCTTGAATGCTTTGTGATTATTTTAATGATAACTTATTCAAAATTAACAGATTTATGATATTTAACATATAATTAGTAAGGTTATTAAATAATAAGAATATAATAATAATAATATTCTTACCTGAGTTAGCGTGTTGCCTTGCAAAGTCTGATTCATAACTACCGAAATTGTAGAAACAATGAAAAGGCATCATATAATATATTTTCACACTAGTGACCTCTCCCCCATATCTCGCTGAAACACCTACCCCTTGTCTCCAGCAGAATCAAACTAGAAAAAAAAAAAAAGTAAAATTAAAACATTTTCGTCTAATGGTATTTTGAATAACAAAATTTTAGGTTTTCAACCTTTAGATGTTTGAAGGGTTCAAATGAATTAATTATATAAAGGTCAATATTATTATTGTTAATATTGAATATGGTAGATTTCATATAACAAATTAAGAAGGAGATGGTCCAGCAGTCAGAAAAAAACATCAAATAATATCTAACTGTTTATTCAATATTTATTAACGTCAATAGATTTATTATATAATTAATAGATATTTATATTATTTTACAGTAATTATCTACATGTGTTTAGAAATTGTATAGACTAGTTTATAACAAGTGTAAACAAAGTTTTCTACTTTCTTTCAAAAGTATTGAAATCCACTAAAATCTCTATAATCTCAAATTAAAGGTGATACCAGTTATGTTATACAGCTGTATGAATGGACACTAACCTGCACTCTAGAAATTATTATTGAAAGATTTGAGTAGAAAATATTTCACACGGTAACTGAAGCGATCTAAGATCAGATTACTAATGCGCGGAGTAGAATTATCAATAAAGAACTGCTTACAGAAACTGGTTAATCAATATCTCAAATGAATCCATCATTAAGTCACTACTTGACAATGAATGTCTCAAGAGAGCATATGGTGGACCAAAGACCAGAAGGATAGATCAAAGTTGTCGCAAAACTGAATGCAGATAACTGGAAAGAAATAGCTCAAGATAGACACGAGATGGAGAACAATGGTTATGGTGGGACAAAACATCTAAAAGTTCTTTAAAGCCAAAAGAAGAAAAATGGTTATAAAGTTACAAATAGTTATAAAGTCTAAATGTAAGTGATCTTGTTTTTTCTGTCCTGATGATATACCTTAATTTGCGGACTGTTGACTATTATTATTACATCTTAATAATTATGGATATTGTTTATAGGATTTATTTTTTCTCATTCTAACTCTCTGGAAGAATAAGATATTTCTCTTTTTATTCCGACTCTTTTTTTTTTTTTAATAATAATACTTTATTTATTCTGGGACGAGTCCCTTTAGAATAATACAGGAAGACAGAAATGAGGGCTAAGGAGCCTCAGAGATATATAAATAAAAATACAGAGTAATTGAACAGTCTTGGTTAAAAAAATAATATATATATATATATATATATATATATATATATATATATATACACATATACATATAAGTTGCTTTCCAATTTTGATCAGTTGATAATAAAAGAGAAAAAAAAAATAGATAAACAAAAATTGGAGAACAAATAGTGAAGAACGAACTAATAACTTATGTACATATTTTCAGTAGTATCTATTTACGATTTTATGGGGACTGGATGGATAAGAAATGATTGAACAGGCGGGATTTAAAGGTAGGAAGGGTATTAGATTGACGGATATGGGAAGGGATGGAGTTCCATAGAGATGAGGATCGGATAATGAACGATTTGTCGAAAGCAGCGGTTCGGTGGGCCCTTATGTATAAATCAGAAGACCGGGAACGAGTATTGCGGGAACGAACAGAGGATTTGAATTGAAGGAGCTCGGAGATGTATGAGGGACAGTGGGATTGGATGGCTTGAAAGAGGAAGGATGCCAGGAAATACTTACGACGGTAGGAAGGATAAAGCCAATTTAACTCCGCGTAAAGATGGGAAACAGAGGCGTTTTTTATTTATATCAATTTATTTAAATTTATATCAATTACTTGATTTTTTTTTTTTTAAAATTGCTTTAAATTGTTTACACTTTAAGTTTTGTTAGAAACAATGCATGGTTCGTATTAACAGATGAACAGTGATTTAATTAATTTTAAGTATTAAATAATTAAGAGAAATTCTTGAAGTCTACAAAGTACTATCCCAGAAAATAAATTACATTTCAACACCAATGACCCTTTAGGGTGGAGATAGGAATGAAAGAGGGAAAACATTGTTTTATTAATCAGTACCTGAGAAAATTGAAGAGAACTTTAAAATATTTGAATTTCTTTTCATTTCATGCTTTATTTTAAAACATTGTATAATTTGTTTCCAAATTTTTTTATCAAAAATGTAAGAGTGGGAGAAAAAAAATTGAGAACACCGAAACGTACTTTTCCACCATGGATTTGTGTAGTTTTTAAGAGCACAAAACGTTAAAACCTTTTGGATATGTCGAAATTTCTCCCACTTCTAAGGTATTCTTCAGTATAGAAAGAACCGTATTTACTTAATTTCAACTCATCCGATCCGAAGGCAACTGCAATACATGCCCAAATACCACTAAAAAATAATAATGAACAAGGCAAATCCGAAACCAACAAAATCGTGTTTAAAGGATTATGAAACGGATTTAAAAAGGACTCCATGCTTCTTCCTATGACCTTATATACTATTACAAAAGTCTATTATTTTCTGACAAAAAAGTAATACCTATTACTCAACATGTTATGAGTATTACAGGTACGGCAGTGTGACGGGTCACGCAACGTAATACAAGATCCGTTCTTCCTGCATCACGAACAAAGAGACAGTTTGCGATGATTTCACTTTTTTTTCTTAAAAAATAATAAATAAATAATTATACTTTAAAAAAAATTATATATATTTTAAAAGAATCGATTGATCGATAATTACTTGTACAACGATTTTAAGCTTAAATTATTATTACCAAACTAATGCACCTCCTTGGTACTTAAAAAATATCTAGGTCATAATATCAGGTCTTATAACTAATTATTTTGTTGATGAAGTGGGGCTAAAACCCAAAACATTTCTTTTCCATATATATAACGAAAATTAATTTGGAAAAAAAATAAAGAAATTAACTACTTATATGACATGGTAAGTAATTCTTGAAGTCCTATTAAATGTAATTACACGAACAATAATACCTTAAGAGGTAGTTTTTAATGCTTTTCCCTATAAAACATGGTTATATTTTACTGTTTTTGGGGGGAGGGGAAGTGACTTCAGCCCGAAAGCCTCCTTCACTTATTAAGTAAATTGATACTTTAACTGTCGTGGTAAGGGATGAAACATAACCAATTGTGTTGAATATATTATCTTGATAACATTATATTTGAATAGACATGTTTGGTTCTATTCTACTTTAAGCACACCAGTGAATTTTCGAAGTGTTTTTGCATTTGGATTAAAATATCTCAGAAACTAAATATGGGACCTGCATACTGTAAGCGAGGGAAATGTTCAGAATTTTATCTTCTTTGTAATAAGCTATTACTGAAAATTGGATCTTAAGGTGGCGCTGTGTTAAGAGAGACAAAACCGTAAAAATGTAACGAGTTGGTTGAAAATATGCATTAACATATCTCAGAAACTAAAAATCAAACCAGCATACTGTAAGCGAGGGAAATGTTCAGAATTTTATCTTCTTTGTAATGAGCTATTACTCAAAATTTTATCTTAACGCGATACCGTATTTGAGAGGTAAAAGGGTAAAAATAGTGTCCAAACCAACCGATAATGAGTTTTATTGAAGATATGAACTAAAATATCTAAGATACTAAAAATCGGACTTGCCTACTGTGAACGAGGGAAATGTTGAGCATTTCATCCCCTTTGTGATGAGTTATTATTAAAAATTGTACCTTACCACGATACTGTGTTAGAGAGCCGAAAACGGAAAAATAGTTTCCAAAACCTACTGATAACGAGTTTTATTGAAGATATGGATTAAAATATCTCGGAAACTAAAAATCGCAACTGTTTACTGTAAGTGAGGAAAATGCTCAGCAATTCATCCTCTTTATAATAAACTATTATTCAAAATTGTATCGCGACGGCGCGTTAGAGTGGTGTAAAGTGCAAAATATAGCGTCATTGGTGTGCTTATAGTAGAAAAGAGGCGTTTATCTGATGCGCTCATACATCCAATGCATTAGGAAAAAGGATAGTTATCTAATGTGAGAGTTCTTGCTCATTAGAATATATTTTTATTCTTTAAAACCTATGATAACATTTCAAACCGATTGTTGCTTTGAATTACTGGCATATATGGAATTAATCCAGCCGCTGCTTTGTTTGGAATCATATCAGGCCTGCTCTATTCAGCTGGAATGAGATTACAGTGGAAGAACCTATTCCGGTCCCAGAGCGCTGCGATACGAGGCAGAATAGGTCTGTGCATTGGAACACAGGCGAGATAAGGCAGTATGTTTATAGAAGTGTATAAACAGAGAGTGTATAAACATCGGACATTAGCGACATCTCTTCAAGGCTACAAGGCTTTATAAAGGCGTCCTTTTGGGATACCCTTTCACGGTATTCCTTTATATAGCCAGTCCTGGTCTTTGGTCTTTTTGTCAAAGCGACTTTTTATTTCTTTTATTCGATCCTTGCATTAACTATGTCTGCTAGCGATAGAGGGGGAAAAAAGAAGGAAAAATTCAAGAACAAACACTCAAATTCATTTATATATTTCAATTCTAAACCACTCAGATTAATCATGACTAATATTAGTGTTAGAGTCAGTAATTAATGGCTACTATAGGGTTGGCAAATTAATCCTTTCGGATTTTCAGGATGAAATAAAACTCAATGTATTATAGACATAAGATTTATTTTAATCGACAATAAATTGACCATTATTTAATATGACTTTTTCCCAGCATTCCATTAACTGCATAATGCCATTTTCATAGAATGTCTGGAGTTTATTGTTAAAAAAACTTATCCTAGTGGTTTTTTATGTCCTCTTCCTTTTGGAATTTCTTTTCATTCGTGGAATTCTGCAGGGACCGGAATAAGTGGTAGTCACTTGGAGCTAGGTAAGGTGAATAGGGAGGGTGGGGTAAATAATAATACCATCTAAACCCAACTTTACAAAATCAGCCTTAACGAGTTCTTTTCACCTTCGCTTTTGTCTGAAAGAAGATGGCCTCGGGACTTTATAATATAGAAATATAATTGGAGTGCTACCAAAGGATAGTTTCTCTTCACGTTGTACATGTCATGTTACTTGTTTCATCATTTAATACAGCTGT